TGCGGGGATGGAAGGGTGTTCATTTTGTCATTAGGTCTTTGTGCCAAGAAGGTTCATAAAGGGGTAGCCTATCTTGGTCATAAGCGGGGTAAATTAGCCTGCGTAACAGGCGTTATATTCCGGGGGTGTACTTTAGGTTGGATGGAGGTGTGCTGCCGATATCCTGGAACCCTTAGCCTATACCAGAGCTAGTTCAAGGGAATTTGGTTACACTATACTAGACTTAACACCCAAATCCCCCCTACACTAGAGTAGCTGTTTTCCAGAAACTACTGGGGTCACTAGCACAGTCCAGCCAAAACAAAACCAATAATTTGATTTTATATATATATATATATATATATATATATTAATAATCACAGGAGTTCAGGCTTCAGGAGTAATCATTGATCGTTTATTGCGACAGTGCTGTTTCGTATGGTCCGAAATTGTAGGACCACACTCATCAGGCAACTTCAACGATTGACCGTTAAAATTAAAAGCTGGCAGTAAATATAGGGATGCGTTAAGAGATAGTATCTAGGTAACAGATGGATTGTGTCTTAGTTACGTTACTCTAGAGTTCTGAAGTACATATCTGTTTCTGTGGGGGCATGAACTCGCTAGTTCGTTTCGCCTGTTTAGGCTACAAAGCTCTTTTTTACAAATGATGATAAACTTTTCATAAAGACAAAGATTACATTTTTTGCTAATGTTGCTATAGGCTTTACATTTCTTTAAAACTTTCCATTTTATCTGGAAAGGTTTGTTAGAGTCTTGTAAAGTCCAAATATATTTTGATAGTTCCGTTTCATTTCTTCTGTTCGAGCGTCGAAAGGAGGACTGATGGTTTCTGTAACGTTCCTTAAAGTTTGTTGCCAGTCCGACGTAAATTTCAGTTGTCGTCGCTGTAGTTACAGTGGCTTGGTAGATTACATTTGAAATCTGTCATCTCGTCACACAACAAGTACGTTCTTTCAAATTCCAACTCACCAACGCAACAACCTGACACCTGCAATTGCAGAAAGAAACCAGATTGTCCACTCGAAGGAAAATGCCTCCAATCAAATCTACCAAGCCACTGTAACTACAGCGACGACAACTGAAACTTACGTCGGACTGGCAACAAACTTTAAGGAACGTTACAGAAACCATCAGTCCTCCTTTCGACGCTCGAACAGAAGAAATGAAACGGAACTATCAAAATATATTTGGACTTTACAAGACTCTAACAAACCTTTCCAGATAAAATGGAAAGTTTTAAAGAAATGTAAAGCCTATAGCAACATTAGCAAAAAATGTAATCTTTGTCTTTATGAAAAGTTTATCATCATTTGTAAAAAAGAGCTTTGTAGCCTAAACAGGCGAAACGAACTAGCGAGTTCATGCCCCCACAGAAACAGATATGTACTTCAGAACTCTAGAGTAACGTAACTAAGACACAATCCATCTGTTACCTAGATACTATCTCTTAACGCATCCCTATATTTACTGCCAGCTTTTAATTTTAACGGTCAATCGTTGAAGTTGCCTGATGAGTGTGGTCCTACAATTTCGGACCATACGAAACAGCACTGTCGCAATAAACGATCAATGATTACTCCTGAAGCCTGAACTCCTGTGATTATTAATAGTCAATGCTCTTCAATTAAATGAATTGAGCGCTCTACGGAATACGTTCTACCCAGAATACAAGTATTTATATATATATATATATATTTTTTTTTTTTGAGTGATAATTCTCGGTTTCTCTAGCTAAGAACTTCAACCAATTGATTAATTTCCTGGAACATGATACCCTGGATCAAAATATATCTTAAACTTGAGAACACCTATGTTCCGATCTCTGAAATGCGTAGATCAACGAGCAACTAAGACAACTTAGGGGGGGGGGGGGGGCACTATCCAATGCGTGTTTGATCATCATATTCATCATATAAAAAGTGCTCTGTCTCGGCTTGAAAATAGCTTATTGTGCCCCAGTAATTATTTCTGGGTGGTTTTCAAAATATTTTCTTACCTGCTGTATACTTAGTTAATTAGCAATTTATAGAAACGTATGCTTACACCCATCCATCAAATACATTCGAAGTTAAAGAGAGGGAGAGAAGGGGCGGAGCTTTTGGAGGGCCGTGAAAATTAGCAATGAGCTAGTAGTCTACAGACTCTCTACATGTGTCTTACCAACATTATTATTATTATTATTATTATTATTATTATATTTTTTTTTCAAGAAAAATCTAATTCCATGTTAGTCTGAAAAAGGCTTGAAAAATTACTTTATTCTGTAAGATGGACAAAACGAATTATCAAATGAGCTAAGTTCTCTCATCTAGCGAAGGGAACGTAACTTTTTTTGTCGTAATCAGGGTTAAGGTTTAAAGGAATCGGAGGCACACTTTTACCTGAAACAATCGTGAAGGCAAAACCAGAACGACAAACCAGTGAGAGTCAGCCGAATCTTTAGCAGACCTGGATCAGTCAAATCTTGGGTCCCAAATTTTAAAATTAAAACAGTAAAACTGATCCTTACGGCAGGAAGAGTGATGAGCTACTGCTTAGTTATAGCGAAATTAGAAGGACGTCGTTGATAATCAAGAGCGATCGGCTTAACTCAGGATTAAAATGTTCGGAGACGGGAGTAGGATTAGGAAAGTGGCCATAGTTGAGAATGGAGCGGCGACGCTCCACAAAGCGTTTATGGAGATGGCGCTTGGTCTCCCCTATGAACTTTTTGCTACATTTTTTGCAGAACTAACCCGAAGCAACCGTGACTCTGTCAGAAAGGTAAGCGAGGCCCACCTCATCAATAGGCTATGACATTAGAAATTCATGGTATAAAGGGTATAAATAGACGTGATGAACTCCAGTAGTGGCAGTTATCATTTTAGTAGCCTATCATTATCTGTTTGCCATGTATTCAAATCTCGCATATGTAACGTTTATCTTGTATCTGTCTTCATTTTTTTTTTTTTTATAGCCCCCGTTGTAGGTTCGTGTTGCAAACCGAAATATCGGGCATGCATGCCAAATGTAATTCACCACTTTATTTTTGTTTTCTATATTTCTTTTCGATCACTCTTCCTGCTGTAAGGATCCGTTCACTGTTTTAGTTTGAAAATTTGGCACTTCTACCTGAGCCTCCTCTTGAGTGCCCGCCCCCAGCCTCACCACACCCCCTCCGTCCACCCCAGGCCCATCTAATAACAAAAACTATCAACGTGAAACAACCAATCAATCTTCGATCGTTAGAGTATGAGGTGGGAGCTGAAGCAAGTTTGATGAAACCGTTACAATCGGGCATCTTTTTTAGCCCTTGAAGTAGATAGATGGGGGGTTAACGAATTTTTGAGCGCTTTATATACAGGGGCGGATCTAGGGGGAGGGTCAGGGGGTGCGCACCCCCCCCCCCCGAATGATCTGCGGTTTTCTAATACAACTTGTATTCTGCAAAAAAAAAAAAAAAAAAAAACTATGTGGTTTATTGGTGTTGAAGTAGAGCTAGAGACGAGTGCACCCCCTCCTAAAAAAAATCCTGGATCCGCCCCTGATATAACCAAAGGGTTTTCTTTGCGTCATACGTCAAATGCAAGCGAGCTAAACGCAAACTTCCGCTTCGTGTTCATAACGATCCTTGGAGTTTTTATGCTTTTTAATCTCAGTTAATCTTCGATCTTTATGTGCTTGATATGACACCCCAATAAACGGTTTGCATTGAAAACACGCTGAGATCAAGTTTTGACCTTGAAATTCAGATCGATGTTTACTGTTTCCTGCTGATTGTTTTTTGACCGGAAAATCATTGACAACATGGCTTCTAATGCACAGCTCACTGTTCTGCCATTTACTCCAAATATGATTAAATCTAATGGGTCCCTTGTTTTTTGTTTAAAAGATCAAAACTGAGAGAGAAAGAGCGAGAGAGACAGAGTGGTGTGGGGAGGGGGGTGGGGTGAGGGCGAGAGAGATTAAAATGAGAAGAAACTTTTGACAAGTTTCAGATAGTACCGTATACAAGCACTTTGTTTACGACACTTAATGTAGGTCAGGGTCAAATTCTTTTTTTCTTTTTTTTCAAGGTACACATAATCGTCTTAAGTAACCAACAAAAAAAAATTAAAGCAAAGCCGACAGCGTGGGCAGGAACGCGTGGGTTTCGATCTCTGAATTCCTTCTGACAAACAAACTACGTGCTGCCCTCAAATATTCTTGGTATTTTAGCACTTCCTTTATACGGATCAATACCAAAAGCGGCAACAAAATAACGTTTATAAAAAAACTTAGACTTTAGACACGAATTAGCTACAATTGGCGACAAAATTAGTGAAACTTTTCGCCCGAAAAAGGCCTTTTGACTTTTTACGACTTTAAAAGGGGAAAATAAAGCTTTTCCTGCCCCGTCCTTGCCATACAACGTTGTGCCGCTGTTCGAGCTGAAAATCCTTCAATAAGAACCACGGACTAGGTTTTAAGACCCCGCGAGACTGAGTACCTACCCCTTGTTTTTCACTAAAACCGCTGGACGCCACAACCTGGTTGAGGTTGTTTTGAAGGTCTTCCGTCCGAGCTACCTTGAGAAAACAACAAACAACCCAACTTTGAATGGAGGAAGGGGGCGGGGTGGGGGTGGAGGGGTTTACATTATCAGCGGGATTGGTGCTCCCGGCTCCCGCGGGGAGGACTGTCCCTTTAATGGGCTTAAATGCCGGCCAGAAGATTCCGCTCCTAAGGGTAACCTTTTCCAGGCTTCAGGAATATGCAAGCCGGAGTAGAAGATTAACGGGTTGAAGTATATAAATCTATCATTTCTGATCTATCATACTTAAAAGTATTTGGCAGAACGAACCGATTTCATTAAAACCCAAAAAATGGCAATAGGTTACGAAAACACTTGTTCACACCACCCCTCGCCCCCCTAAAAAAAATCTTAATTTTTCCCCACCAAAATTTTCCTAATGTTGCGTGGTTATATTTCGAGCTTGGGATTCCTGTGGATTGAGCGGAACTACTGGGCTCGAATGATGTGCGTAACTTGGCAACCGCGCTCGTTAACCGCGCTCGATGCTGTACATGAATGTGCCCGAAGAATCTATCGACTTGTCTCTCGCTTCTGTCGGCGATTAGCAGCCAGAATGTCTGGAAAGCCTAATCCAAAAGTATTTCTCTGTAGAGATTCGCGAGGAAGTGCTGCAGCACCTGCGTCATTTGAAAAGGTTTGTGAAATTGAAGCCACGACAGGGCTGCATTTCTGCACGGCATTGTGTTCTATTGCCAAACGAGGACTGCATGAACACTTTAAGCTTTGAAAGTCTTCATTAATTTGTGTATTTTAAGTCAAAGTATATGAGCATTTCTTTGTGTGATGTGTTTGTTAAAATATGGTCAGGATAAATCATAATACAGCAATCCATGCATTCGAACTGGATAGGCTGGGACCCCCAGGAGGGGGGTTACTTGGGTTAATTTTTGCTAGGTATGTGCCGCTAGACTGCTTGCAGTCCGCCTTTTCTCTTAAAATCTGTTTAGTTCTTGATCTCATCCAGCACAATTGCAAACCACGATGTTATTATATAGGGATCGAGAGTAAACGAGAAAAGATGGACTGCTGACTCTTTTGTAGTAAACAAACCCTCCATCAGACAGAAACAGAGTAACCGATTGGTCAATTGCACAACTGTTGACAGATCATTTACTAGTCTGTGGTGAGATTGCAAGCAATAAACATAGTCACGCATCACAAACAACTGCAAACAATAGCAAACCAAGCAGTAATCTCAGTAATAAAACTTTTAAGGATATCTTACAGAAGGAAACTGCTGTACATTTTCTCAAGGGAAACAAATTCAAGGCAATCTTACTGGATTTAAAGAAAGTGTAATATTTTCAGTTGTTTATGTTCTATTTAGTAATCGTTTCAAGTTACTTGCGTTTAATTGATTAAATAAAAATAACCTTGACAGCTTCGTTGTCCCCAGACAGAACAAAAAGGTCAGCAGTCTCTTCTTTTTTCTTTTCGGGCTTACGTGCTCATTTCTCACGGCAAGCAGCTTCGCCGCTTGCGTGCTTAGGTTTTGCGTGTAGTAACTTAGCAAAGAAAAATAAGAGACTGCTCGCTGTCAAATGTGCCGCTGTCCTCCCAGAGCCCCTTCCCCGGTATAGTCTAGTCTGTGGTCAATTACAGACCCCATTTTAGTCACTTTGGAGCAAATATGTAATTTTCACAATCCCAACTTAGTCACCTTCTATTTATGTATCTACTTTAACAATCCTTTAAATTGGTCATCCTAAAATGAATGGACTCATTTTTTGAATTGAATAAAGAACACTTTACTTTTCATCTACAGTACAAACAGTAACTGTTGCCTGGTTAGCTCAGTTGGGAGAGCGCCGGTCTGCTGAGCGGGAGGTCGCGGCTTCAAACCCCGGCCGAACCAACGCTTAGGGTCTTTAAATAACTGAGAAGAAAGGACTGCCTTTGTAATGACATCTGCAAATGGTTAGACTTTCTAGTCTTCTCGGATAAGGACGAAAAACCATAGGTCCCGTCTCACAGCACTTTCACTGATCTGTTCTTGTGGGATGTAAAAGAACCTACACTACTGTTCGAAAAGAGTAGGAGACGTAGACCCCGGTGGTGTGGCCAACCTTAACAGGTTGTGGGATTGGGAATGGATGCCACCTTGCATGGGACTTGTGAGTCCCGTTCGTGCCTATTCCCTCTGGGCAGGCCTGTGTCCAGAAAAGCTTGTAAAACATTCTGGTATGTTTGCTAACTGGAAATATGAAGAACTGTCTTACCCCAAAAATCAGAAAATGTGCGACGCCATTCTAGTAACTCTATAGTCAATTCAGTCTTGAAAATGTGACCCCATCCAGCAGCACATCCCCATTAGCCTCTTGTAAGGAAGTACCCCCTAGTTGGGACAAGGGTTAGTGTCTTGATACACCCATGATTCTCCCCATGAGCACGGCTGTTTTTATAAGTTTTCATACCTTAGCTAAAATCAGCAACAAAATTAGCTGAGACGCCTCTCCTTAAAGGAGCTTTCTGATGTTTTAATAACCTCCAGAGCAGAAAATAAAGCTCTTTCTGCCTCATACCCTCCTTGCAATGTTGCACAGGCTGTTAGAGCGACCTTTAGGAATTAACAAACACCCAACTTTGAGTGGAGGTAAGGGGGGGAGGGGGGGGGGGTGGATTTCTTTTTTACCCTATTTGAGAGCACTGTCTCAACAATTTTGTTGCTGATTGTAGATAACCCTGTTTCGGTGATGTTATGCATTTCCTGTACTTTTTTGTTCAGGATTTTTTAAAAATAAATTTTTACAAGGTTCTTTATTGTTCAATAACAATAAGCCTTTTAGATAGTATACTGCCATATTATTTATTTATTTCATTATATTTTTGTTTCATTTGGCAGTGTTGTCTTACTGTATTGGGCTGTAGTCAAGACAAAATGGATATCGGATATGTCTATGAGGATGGGAGACTAGAGATTTACCCTAGTGGACAAGGAATCAAACTAGCAGTAAGTTCTTCTTAATATTACACTCAATCTTTTACTTAATTTATTAAGTAGGTACATGGTCACACATGATAGTTAATTTGTGCAGTGGGGTTACATGTATGCACAGTCAGTCTGTACTTTTGCAGTAATTTAGGGCCTAATAATTACAATCAAAATTCTCTGCACCTGTAGTATTTTAAGGGTTGCCGAGTCAAAATTTTCAGTCATGGGGACAGGGTGATAAAGACACCTCTGTTTCATACTTAATGTGCATAATTACACTTTTAACAAAAGACAGTAAGATTCTTGCAGAACTAATGGTACACTTTGGTATTGTTAGCATCCTGGTAGGTGTCCTTGCCGTTTTCTAACATCATCAGATATTGCAAATATACCAGACAGAGAAAGAAGTCAAGGTGTGAAAGTAGCAGTGGCAGTCCTGCTGCAATCATCTGATGGGCGGGTGTTGTTGACAAGAAGACCAGAGCATATGCGCACATTCCCTAATGTCTGGGTTCCTCCAGGTATAGTCATGATTTCCTCCAGAAAAAGTGCCTTGCATTTCCTAGATATGTATTAGCATGCTTCCAAATTTCTATCTTAGCCACCTGTAGAGAATCAGAAAACATACTGCATTGCTGTTCTTGGCTCAAACAGATTATACTTGAAATGAATTAAAGCTTATTTAGTAATATCCTCCACTATTCCGTCAAATTCAAAAACATATGTTTCTGTTTTTCAAAGTGCGGAAAGATTAATAATTAAGACTAATGATTCAACAAACATGGAATGACTTCAATTTTCATTTTTTTGCAGTAAAACTTTGGTCTTTTTGCATAAGTACAGTATTAACCTATCTAATATTGAAAGCCTTATACTAATAAGGAATATATGGAAAATTTATAAGCTCCTGGTTTAAAAGAAATATATATTTAGCAATTAATGAATGAGGCTGAGTAGGATATGAAGAGTGTGCAGATCGAGGTGGATAATATGTCCCTTCCAAGATCTGCATAATTCTTTATAGCCTACGAAAGCCAAATTTATTAATTACTTTATTATTCATTCAAAATAATCCCTAGTTTAAAAACAGGTAGATTACCTTCGTCAATCAGTTAAGTTCACCTCGGTAGTGCATGTTTAGAAGATAAAGGGCTGTTCAGGTCTGCAAATATACTCCAAATTGTAGATGTTGTCCATCAAATTGTCTTCTTGCTATATGTTTTTAGACAATAGTTTGTCGTGAAACGAGTAAAATGTTCCGCCGACTGTGTGGGCATTTTTCTTTTCACAGCCAAAACAACTCAACCTCGTCCCCAGGTCTTAGTGGTTAACGGTGCGCACCTGCAACTGGGGAGATGACAAAACGTGGAGCCCTACTCCATGGAGTACCCTACGGAGTACCTAAAATGGAGTACTCCTAAAAATCATGTATTGGTAAAATAAAATACTTTATCAACATGGTGAATTGTTTAGATGTACATAGCTTTATTTTGAGCTTGCCAGCCCTCTGATTAATGTTACAGTTTAATGCAGTCTTGGAATTGACCCCCTTCTTCTTAGCATTAAACTGCTGACCACTTCAAACGAAAGGCCTATGCAGGGCCGCTTGGCCAGGATCAGCCAGGATGTCAAGCACCATGGACAATGTAGGCTTATCAAGCACAGGTGGGTACTTTTGAAACGTATACAGCTATTTCGAGAAAGGTTGTCGGAAAACATGTGCACGCGACAATCCCGAAAAGTAATATGGGATATGATCAATACACTGTTCCTGACAATGTAGCTGTCGAACCTACTTTTGTTGCTTTCCTTTAGCACCCGCAGACATATTTCCACGGCCTCAGCTGACGGCCTCTCCTGCCATTCTTTCAAATTTCTTTGAAAAACAGTGAGCTCAAAGCCACCCACAATACCTTTCGGGTTTGTCGCGTGCACTTTTTCCGACAACCTTTCTCGAAATAGCTGTATATAATAAGGTCAAATTTAATCAAGTATAGTTTAAAACTTTTTAGCTGAATTTTTTTTGTTGTTTAATTGTGTCAACAGATGAGGAATGCTGCATCACTAATACACACATGGAAAAAGCTAGGTATGGCTGTAAGCTTAACAAAGTCCCCTAAACTACAATGAAAAATTTGGCCCTTTTGGCCTCTTGAAAAAGAAAATGCTTGAGGATGCTGGGCATTTGAGGTGGTCAGCAGTTTAATGTTAAATTTCAAGATGGCAGTCAATTCATGGACTGTGTCAAACTGTGACAATCGGGGAGCTGTCAAGCTCAAAATAAATAAAGGTATGTACATCTAAATGGTTCACCATGTTGATAAAGTATTTTATTTGACTAATACATGATTTTTAGGGGTACTCCATTTTGGGTACTCCACAGGGTACTCCATGGAGTAGGGCTCCACATTTTGTCATCTCCCCTTGCAACTGTGCTGCACTTTTGACATCATGGGTTGAGTAATCACAAAATTCTTCCAGATTTGGTCAACAGTAGCTGATTATGGGGAATTATGCGTGTACTTTTAGCTAATCAGAAACAGAGAAATATTTTGAATGAATATATAATAAATATATTTATATTCACTGTACATAGGATGTTGCATATTAATTACTACCGGTACATTGCACATTTTTTTTGTAACATTATACATGTACTTAACAATATTATCTCTTCATTCTGCTTGAGACAGCTGACGGTTTAAATATTTCAATGATAATATTATTACATAAATTTACATGCTTCAATAATGTTTCTGTATACACAGAATATTGGTAGGGAAAACACATTTCGTTTTGACTGTATTGTATGTGACATTTACTTTGTACGTGCAGGGGGTCATGTGGAATCAGGAGAAACTGTAAGTGTGTGCATTCCCCAAATAAATTTTAAATATTAATTATCAGTAATATAATTATTAACATTTCGCCATTTTCACATTGCCCATAATACACCATGTACCTTGTTTACCCCCGATCTTTTTCATAGTCATTATTTTCAATTTCAAATTTTTGAAAATATTTTAATGTACGGTGTATACTTAATTTTGTTTGGAATGCAAATTTATATGCACAAGTTTAAAGTGCAACTGTGTCTTGTTGAAGTAACCAAATGCAATCAATGGAAGTTTAAACCATTGTGGGTAAAAGCTCTCAATAATCTGTTCAAACAGTCTTGATCCACACTGTAGTTATGCATGCACGTTTACATTTTTTTTTTTCTAATGAAATTTTGACCAAGTTACATGTACATGTTAAATATCAGGTTACAGGATGCTGCTTACTGTAGGATTCCTAATTCTTGCATTGTGGTCTCTGCAACAGATTATTAACGGAAATTACAAAGTTTAACATTACTACATGACTTGTGTAATAGTTGGCTTTTTTTCCAGCTTTATCAGGCTGCTCTTAGAGAGCTATCAGAGGAAACAGGATTGAGGTTTTCAGAAAATGATCTCAACATTTCAACACTTGGTCTCTGGGAGGTACAGTTCAGTGCTAACTTTCTTGGTTTATCCAAACAATGTACATATAACTGTAACAGTTTGGGCTGTTTACAGATTTGAAAGCAAACTCATCATTACTTGCGTGTGTATGTTACTTGTCAATATCACAGTGTGTACATGTACCAATATTTCCTTGAATAGTAGCTGTCCCTGGATTAATCACCTCGATCTCTCGAATAATCGCCCCCTTTAGACTGAAATATTTGAAGCAATTGCCTTCCTCCAATAATCATACGTTCTCTTTTCATCCACCAAGGTCGAGAAAGATGCGCATATTGCACTATGAATTAAGGTCAAAATGTGCATTCCTTATTTCCAGCACAAAATTGTTAATAAAAGGGTTCCACCCTTGACCCCCGTGCTTGGTGACTGCCTACAGACACCGTAACGTGACTAACATGGTCTTGTTTTCTTGAAATATAATCAGTCTGTACCAGTGAAAACTTCCATTAAAAAAAAAAAAAACAAAAGAAAAAAAAAAACTTCCCTCTTTTCTCCATTATGTTCTTTATTCCACATTTTGAATTTATGAAATTCGTATATTTATCATTTGATCTTCATCGTTCTCTTGTATGCGAAACAACTAATGGCCAGCTTCCAGACCAGTTGGCTGGTTAGCTCAATTGGTTAGAGCGTTGCACCGGTATCCCAAGGGAACACTTTAGATTTCAAGTGACAGAAGGACTTTTGGGGTTTAAAATTTTTGATTCAGGGATTTTTTGGGGTACATGGAGGAATATTTAGCGAGTATTTTTTTTTGGTGGCGTGCTTTAAGTAGGGATTTTTTAGGGGCTTTGTTGGAGACTCAAGGGATTTTTTTTGGTTTTAATTTTTGGTTTCCATTCGATAACCCCCCTCACTTGAAATCCGGAGCACCACCCCGGCCTGGGACCGGTATCCGGGTTCGAATCCTGGCAAGTCTGAAGTTTATTCAGGGTTTATTTCGCAACTGCGTAAGTTGCATATTCAACTCTGATGATCATCTCTAAAATCATTTTATTCTATTTTCTTTTCGGCCGGCAGTCTGTGTTTCCACCTATTCTCTCCATGGAGCCTTGTAGACCTGTACGGCATCATATTGTAGTGTACCTTTTGGCTCAAACCAAAGAAGACCACAGCACTTTGAATGGGAGGCTAAGGTTGCATCAAGAGGAAGTCGATGCAGCCACTTGGCTAGATGAGGAAACAGCCACCCAGGCAGCTGCTAGCGATGACTTTGGCCAATCATTAAAGGTTCCGCAAAGATATTTTAGGTCAGTTAACAGACGACGCATGCATTCCAACTTCTATTTAGCGGTTTCACCTGGGGTCCTTCACCTAGGATTAAGGACTGTTTGTCAGCCGCTACAGTCAACTCTTTCTAAGAAGGGACCAGCACTTTGTGGCCGTCTTAAGCGTATTTCCACTGTCGCATAATCTTTACTTGCGTAGGCGCGTAAAATTTACGTGCGTAAATAAAATAGAGGCAATGTATGGAAGGTCGCGTGTACATTGTAAATATTAAAAGTTGAACCTCGCTCAACTTTTACGTTTACACGCAGCCTTTCATACATTGCCTCCATTTTATTTACGCTCGTAAATTTCACACGCCCACGCACTCGCGTAATTTTTACGATTGCACGAACGTAAATTATAATGAAAGGTCGCGCGTAATGTAAGAGTATAACCTCACTCTACCTGACTTAAACCGCCACGCCCGACCTTTCATACACTGCCTCTATTTTATTGACTGCTTACGAAATACGTTACAAGAATTTAAGCGTTAAGTTCGGTAAAAAGTTCGGCGTCTGAATCAAACTTTAAGGCGTTCCACAGTCGAAATTCCCGGCCGGGCTAGGCGTAAAGAACGGCTCAGTTCCAAATTAAAACAGGCGTTCCTAATTTATTCAGATTCCGAACTTTTCGTGTACTTGATTGAACGTATTGGGTTCGGCTCATGAAAAGTACGACGCCTGAACCGGGCCTTAGCGAGGTGTCCGTTAAAAGGGAGCTGAGTTTGAAAAAGCCAGTCTACATTTGTTTTTAGATTTCGTTGTCTGCTGTTTTTACTGACGTCTACTCAATCCAATATGGCAGCTGATCGCCTCACATCTTGTATATATAGGCTCCCTTTTCCCGTTCCCATTTTTTCCCCTGACCAACCAATCCATCTTTTGTTGATAATCCTAGTCTTCACTAACCTGTCCCAGGCTCCAAGGTATTAGTGCGGCCTTGCAGTAAAAAGTGATGCAAAATACACTGATTGACTGTTACTCTTCTAGGTGCGAAATATGAATGCATAAGCAGCAAGCCCTTACACGATGGGGGGGGGGGGGTTGGTGGGGGAAGCACCGTGGTGATGGTTACTGAACTTAAGCCAAGTGCTCTTGAAAACTGTTAAGACCCATTTTCACCCAAATCATCTACACAGACTGTACGTCCCCATTATTGTCTGAACGCTTTGATGCTCTCCTGTGTACAGTCAGTGGATGGACTAGTCATCAAGAGATATTTGTTTTTCGTCTTTCTCTTTATAGCGCCATTGTCGTGGAAAATTCACGAATGGTCGAGAAGAACCTACCTTTATCAAATCTGATGGCGTGTCTGCCTCGCACTGCAGCGGATGGACGGGAACAAAACAAGGAAAGACTCTCCACTGGAACCAAGTTCGCGCTCCGACAGTGGCTAAAATTCCTCTACCCCCCTCCCCCAGGGAACCTTCAGAGGGGAGATTCGTTTGAGACTGTGTTTCACATGCTAACAAAAACTGGTCATCAACCTATGAAAGCCCCCTTCTGGGGTAAATGATCTCGAAGTCTGGAATAATGGAATGTTTCAACTCTACGGAGTACCCCGTAAATCTAGTTGGCTGTTGTGGCTGGAGATGTCCTTTCCGCTCTTCCCCGAATGCAGTATATTTTTTCACAAAAGTACTTATTAGCAGAAACAGTGATGTTTAACCCACCGAAATTGAAGTAACAAACAATTAATGCCATCAACAGCAGCAACAAAAGCAATGATTTCAATTTTATCGGAAACAGTCGGTTGGTTTTGTGTATTGTGAAGTTTTCGTTTTTAAATTAGCCATCAAAAACCCCCCCCCAAAAAAGTGAATTTAGGATATACATTTTACGGGTGTGGTGTTAGTTTTACCTCCTCTAAAAATATAAACAAACAAGGAGCAAACAAATTTTAAATAAATGAATAAAATAAACAGTATTGGTAAAAAGCTTTTACCAAAGAACGACTGCGAGTGTTTATTACTACTGACGAAAACAAATAGATTCAAGAGTGTTTTATGAACCCTTACGGCCTATTTGATTGAAATAGATAACTCATGATTATTATTAAGTATTCATCCATTGGAGATGATTGAAAATTGAAAGTAGCAGCCAAAATGACTGTTAAATAAGGAGAAACAAACCTCCTCTGGCTGTGTTTTTGATTCTACCGACTATCTCCTCCCCTAGTTACAATAGGTCTTGTCCTAGCGTATTGACTGTTAAGTCTCGTGCAAACGGACGCAGGATTGTTGGCCAACAACTCCCAACATCGCTGGATGTTACATGTTGCGTCCGTCTGCACACTCCGTTGCATGTTGTTGCGTGTTGTTGGGAGATGTTGCGCAAAGTTTGAAACCTGTCAAACTTTGAGCCAACAACTCCCAACATCTCTTTTGATCAGTGATTGCCGAAGTATATAATGGTCCGTTTGCACAGCTCCTCCAGCAGTGCTGGGGCCACGCACGCGAATTACAAATGGTCTACGAAGTCTTCTGGGTCAAATCCTTCCCACGATGCAATGCAGGTCCCAACAATCATCCGTTTGCACACCATTGCCAACACGGACGCAACAACTCCCAACATTGACTCCCAACATTATTTGTTGGCCCACTGTTGGCCTAACTTCATCGTCATCCGTTCACGGGTTTATAACGAACCAATTCAACGACCTGCTCCCAGTTGGCTTGTTAGCGTAATTGGTAGAGCGCTGCACCGGTATCGCAGAGGTCAAGGTTTCGAATCCCGTACAAGCCTGGCTTTCTCTTCGCAACTGCAAAAGTTGCGTATATAACTGCGATGATCATCCTTCATTTAATTCTTCACTCCGCAGTTCACATATATGATTTTCATATATTCATAACATCATCGCCAATGTTGGGAGTTATTGCGTCCGTTTGCACGTAGCTTTATTGACGCAGTAAAACTAACAAACCTTTTGAAATGAAACATGAAATCAAGTAAACATGCAGCTGCTTGCGCGAAAGCGATGTTAAATGCAATTGGCTTTTGTCATTCGTTGCTTGACAACCACGTTATTTTTGAACGGTGTATATTCTTCGTTCGATGCGGCGGCGATATTAAAGTTGCACAATATCTGTAGCTTTGCGACATTGCTGTTTCTCCATCATGGCAAAACAAACTGGCATCTGTGGGATATTGCATCTGGTTTTTTTCCTTCGTAAGTATTCAATAGTTAACCCAACATTTAACAACCTTGCATAAAACAGGGGCACCCATGCAACGAGAATATAGTTCAAAACCACTTAAACATAGCATTGTTAAACGTATTTTAGTATTTTAATGGTAGATATAGGCATAATTTTATCCCCTAAATTTTTTTTATCGGATTTCGGATTCGGATTTCCTAGCGGAAAGTCTAGTGATCCGAAAATTATAGGGATCAAAACTTACCTTTTCGAAAATTCCAGCCAGAAAAAAGGCTCTCGAAAATTCTAGGTGACCTTTTTAGGGTAAAAATCCGTTAAAAATAGGCAATTATCCCATTTTTTAGATGTTCGAAAATCCTAGGAGAGGCAGGCAAGCAAGAAATTTTACAACAAATGTTCGTGACAAACGAACCCCAACGGACGTCTGCGGGGAGGCTACCGAGAATTCTAGATCTCAGATCGTCTTCCGAACAGATATTTTCCGAAAATTGTCGTTGGGTGCCCCTGATAAAAACCAAGTTCACGAAAGTATCAATATTCTGTCAGTAATACATGAACGAGTATCTAGAGGATCGACTCTACAATTATTCCTGAAGTGAAAACCATGGTTTTACTGTGAGGGCTGGTTTCTCTTTGGCGATTAAAGTATTTCATGCGAAAGCAGTGGAGTGAAGGCAGTATACAGTATGCAGTATACAGTACGCATATTATACCCAACAGTCACTAAAAATACTAACCAAATTGTCCAAGATCCTTTTTTCAAATTTGACCAGACTATACAGCCGTCTCATTTCGGTGTGGCCCTAATACTGTGGTGTACTTTTGGATAGTAGGGTGTAAATGATTTATTCATGTTATCTTGTCTACTGCCCATTTTTTCATTCTGATTTCTATCCGTTAATTTGAGAACATGCCTGTATTTTTCGCTGTAATGGAATACAATCATTATACACTTGTTTACTTTTTCTGTTTCTTTCCGAAACTGAAAATAACACAGCAACAGCAGCAAAAAAGAATCTGTTATAAAGCTTCGTGTTTTAGTCACTGTGCTTCTAATATTCGTGACAGTATTTGCCATTTGATTATTTCAGTCATCATTTATGGAAAAATTTTAGAAGACCTTTTAACTGTAGGAGGGCTAATCGAGCAATTCATTATATTTACGAAATAATCTCTAAATGATAGTCGTAAAAAGCGAAACGACAGCGGCGAACTACGAAATTATGCTATGCTTATTTCTTGTTGTTAAGTGATTGCATGTTTATTTTTCCAGAAGGCTTTTTTATTACAAGTCTATTATTTTCGTTCAGATATATTCATGCTCGAGCAAAGGATGTTAGTGTGTGTAGCTGAAAATTATAAAAATAAAAATAAAAAATAAATAAAAAATAAAAAAAGGCTTTTTCTTTCATCTGAAACTGACAGGGAGCGAAAATGTTCCATTTCGCAGATTAATCCAAAGCTCAAAATCAGACAAACGTAGCAAAACCACCTGTCACTTAAACAAAATTTTATTTGTTTCCATGGAGTGGACGAGAACCTGGTTTCGACAGTTCGTTTAACACCGTACCTCTGGAGACCGGCTGCACGTAATTTTTCCTCAATAATGAAAGGCCTTAAGGTTTGAGTCTTTATGTCACACTGTGTTATATGAGCTAAAACTAAAAGAGAAAACAAAGAAAGAAAGAAAGAAAAAAAAAGACAAGGAAAGAAAAATCATTGACAAGAAACGATGGAAATTAGTACAAAAGTAACGGGGCAAAATGCAGTGAAAAACTATCGAATCTAGAACGCAGCAAAAGTGGAAATTTACACACCTACAATAAATGAAACCACCGAGAAAAAATCCCGCGTAAACAGTATATAAAAAGCTAAGATTGCATTTCTTACATCATAGTTAAAACCATCATAGTTAAAACCTGGCCATGGTTAAAGTTGCCGGTATTGAAAATGAAGAGAAACGTCTACAAAGGAACGAAAGCTTTGGACCCCTCTGTTGATATATAACGTTAACTAAGAATAATTGTGACTTTCACGGCTGATTTCCACTTTGCTGCCCTTTTAATTCCTCACGAAGCAAAGCTGAAGACCTCGCGAAGAGAGCGAGGATTGCGGATCGTGCCATGTTTTGGATCGCTGAGCGAGAAGTTGACACTCGCTACATTTCTGTTGGTTTGGTTGGTGTCCACTTTTGCTTAGCAACAAAACTCCGACAAAACAGACTAGCCCGGTTGCTTTTCCGGCTGTTTACCCTACGGGCAAAAATAACGAGGAAAGAGAAAAAGAGACGCAAGGTCTAGAGCTTTAATGGCTCTTTAGGCTTGGATGAAAAAATAAAAATAAAGTGAAAATGATAATAATAATAATATTAAAAAAAAAAACTTCTCAGAAAGTGTTCATTCATCCTGATCAATACTGACGTTTTCTTTTTTTTTCTTTTTTTTTCTCATTTCTATCGAACAAATAGATCTCGTCTTTCTTAGTCGACTGTCGTCTGCATCTGGTAAGTCTTTTTGTTTGTTTTTGCTATTGTTGTTGATGTATTAGAGCGGTTTTCACTTGACTGTCGTAAAACCAATACCGAAGTAAATACACTAGCCAACCAAAGGGCGTAGTAAAACCAAAACCAAAACCAAAACCAATCCCTTTCGACAGTCAAGTGAAAACCGCTCTAGCAAAGAAAACTTGGCCTGAAGTATTTTCTTTTGTCTTTTTGTTTGTTTGTTTTTTTTTCCAATACAGTGGTATGGGGCTAGCCTTGCACTATTTTTCCTTAGCTTCAATTTTTATATCGACTACATTGTAAATAATAAAATTACGAAAAATGATTATAATGACGATAATGATATGATCTGATGCTCTGTCGAAAAATATTTTTTAAATTTCAAGGCCAAATCACCAAACAAATACAATTTGGTAAATTCTTCACCATCAGCTGAAAGCCGAAAATTTGGGTTTATGGCTCACTCGAGGGGAACAGCCGAAACATGTCACATATTAATCTTTGACTAGTAAGCATCACAAAAATGCATGATAGCAAGGATAAAACGGTAGCTTTCACTTTGAAAATCGAAATTTAAATTTGCCCCTCATAATCTCCTTTTGGCCGCCATCCGTTAAAATTCGGGGAAGGCTGAAAAGTTGCTCATATTCTTTTAACGTAAACAAATCTTGTTTTAGCGTAGATTTAAAACATGCAAATTTGAACTTAAAACATGACTTCCGTTTATTCTAGTGCTTAAATTATAACTACCTGACGTCCTATGCTAATCAACATCGCCCGTTATTGGTCTCTGCAGAATAAGACCGGCTGTTCGCAATTTGTTTAATAACTAAAAAAAATGTAAGGTTTAGAAAATTGTTTCAGAAAAGAGTAAGTAAATGAATCATATTTTTGCATTGCAAGTGTATTGTAATGAATAGAGTCAGGCTCTTCTTGAAAACAATTTCTTAGTGGAGAACCTTATCCTGTCACGCGTCCATGACCGAAATCAGTTTCAGAGGTTTCAGCTGAATGTGAATTCCCCGCAAAAATCAAAATCAATGTGATGGCCGAAGAAAGTTCACCAACGAGAGAGATTTGCAACTCGCTGAGCTTGTGCGCACAGAAGTGAGTGATGACTGACTGCCCTCCACGGCAAGAGAAAGTAGCCAGCGAATGACTTTGTAATGAGCCGCTTTCTTTGATCCAGTGAAGAAAGCCAACGAAGGTTAAGGCTGTGCATAAGGTTCGCAACAAAGATCTAGTACTTCCTCTTGTGCTTGGGTGGCACTTCTGGGACAGTTCCGGCAAGCCGAGAACATAACCGGCAGTTTCGATGAAACGGCAGGCTACAGAAGTTGTAGATCTCCTCTGGAGCTATGTTCCATGTGGTTGCTTATAGTAACTAACTTCACGCAGCACGCACGTAGACGTACTGGTTGACGTGTAGCGCCAGGTGTTGATCAAAAAAGTCAAAAGACTGAGAAGAACGTCTACCCGCTGACAGTGTATAATATAGGGATTTACTGCGATGCACTATGCTGTGAAGTCATGGTACGAGCTGCTAAGTGCCAACACAAATAAGCTGAAATCGTTAAATTCCTTGTGCCACTGGGCAAAACCGAAGCATTTAGAAGCAGACTCGGCAACTGGATCATGGACTCGTCGTGTGGCAACCGAAGACCAGTTGTGCGACTAGAAGCAGACACATAGTGATCACAGACCCTGTTCCTGATCGAGGTACAGTTCTGTGACGAGGAGGCTGAAACGCCTATTGTTCTCATGCTCGGCATGCGCGTAGGAATGACAGTGTGATGCACTCTAATACACTGACACTGAGACTGATGTCTTTGTCCTAATGCTTGCTTATAGCAAAAACTTGACTTTGAAAAGGTGCTACATGAAAAAGGGAAGAGGCGCGACTCGACCCAGGCGATGTTAACCACTGCTTCATGAGGTGCCCTTATAGGTGTAAACTCTATCACAGGCTGTTATAACATCTCTGCCTTCTTTGGTAAAGGGAAGTGGAAAGCAGTCCAGCTTCTTCAACCAAAGGAGGGTAGGTCCGAGTTATGGCGAGTATCCCAGGAAAGAGTGATCAGTATCCAATGAGAACTTTAAATTCAAGATACGGTAGCACCCGTTTGTTAACTGTACGGAAAGAAGTGGCATATGCGCCGCTACGAGATTCATCCCCAGCTTAAGGCTGGAAAGTCAAGCTGGAGAATCTGCCGCCATGCGAGTCATCTTTTTGCCTCAATGTGAAGAAGAACTATTGTTCTGCTCCCGTCGTTGGTACGTTACCGTAGAGTAGTTGCAACTCATGTGTATTCACCTTTCTTCCGCTTATGATGTTAGGGCAGAAAATGCAGTACATGTGAATCTATGTTTATGTTTAAGTTTCCAAACGCGAACCTCAGCAGTGAAGAATGGTGTTATGCGAATGATGTCAGTAATGGGAACATAGTGCTGTTGTTCTAAAACAAGCTCTAGACTGAAGAGTGGAGCACGTTTCGAGATGGGGGGGAGGCACTCCCTTATTTGGCTTATACGGGTCAGGTATGCGCTGCTGAACACAAGGACTTGAGTATTTTAAACCAGCGTGTTGAATTGTATTATTTTAATAGTAAAATTCTATTTTAATAGTAAATTCACTTAAAAGCGTCGTGAACAGTGTCTTTTTGGGCTAGAAGCCTTAAAAAGACTGTGAAGGCTAGCGATGAGCAGTGTGCATTTGCAATACCAATAATTTTTTTCCAAAGTTTCTATTTCTGTGATGTTAGTTTGAAAAACTATTTGATCCTTTATGTAAAACAAAACAAAAAAACAAATCAATGTCAGAATCTTAAACAGTGTCGAAGTTTGAGGGTCTCGGCGGCACAGCTCTTTTAAGACTTACCTTGAGTGCATCCCCCTTCCCCCCCTGGAGCACGTTATCTGCTCTTATTTGTGCCTTATTGCCTCTAGGTAGAGTTATGATTTACTTGCCGTAGAAAACGAAGCTATAGTAGCTCTAAACACGTTCTTCTAGCATCGTGACTTCGATGGCCTTAAACATTCGACGACTGCTTTGGTCGTTATCACTCCATATGGAACGATGCATGATCACGCATGTTTTCCTTCCTAGACCCAGTTAGCTTTCAGTTTATATAAGTTAATAAATTTGTTAGCAACAACGTCACAAAAAGTTTCCAAAGATATCTCGTTTTGGATATTCTGACTGATCCTAACAACGTTACACTCACAGCCGGAAAGGTAACATTTTAAGGAAAAATCCACTGCCAATGTGCCGGTTTATCCGCTACTCTTTGAAGATTACATTTTTTCCTTTCCTTAGAAGTTGGCTAGCCACAATTCTATAAAAAAAGACGATAAAGTGGGCAAAAAACTGCTAATATAGAAGAAAGGCAAAGAAAAAAAGAGAGCGATAGAGAAAGATCGAAATAGATCCGCAAATAAAAAGTCAAAAATTTTGGCTTGTGCACATGCGTGAAAAACAAAAAAGCTGTTTAATTACGCGATTAGTCGGAAAATATGCCTTTGTTTGATGCAAAATTCATTTTCAGCTATTTTTTTAGCCATGCTAGTTAGTCGAAAACCAGTCCAAAGAAGAGGAATTGGTGAAAAATGCGGTTTTTTGGCTACTCGCCAGCCGTCACCAGAGGGTTAAAGAAAGTTACCAATTTGTTTCAAATTGGCCTTTTTCCTCATAAAAAAGTCAAATTTTCCCATTTAAGCACAAAACAGGTTTGTAATGTGAAAAAGAAGAACTTCCAACGTTTAATTAATGTTAATAGCAATTTTCTTATTTAGATGATTGACATATCAGTTGAATGGGCTAATTCTGAAAGCAAAATGGCGGTCACTGTGACGTCATATATGACGTCATCATATCTTGACTAACCTTGATAATGCTAAAATAATATCTCAGATACCTAGTAGTTCAAATCTTCTTTAAAAAAATCGTGTGTTTAAATTAAGGGGCAATCAAAGGTTTGTTTATAAATCCAAGATGGCGACCAAATTAAAAGTAAGGGTTTAAGTGGCAAATTTAAAATTCGACTGACAGAGTGAAAGCTACCGTTCTATCCTTGCTATCATGCATTTTTGTGATGCTTGTTACTCAAAGATTTAGATTATACATGTTTTGTTTGTTCCCCTTAAGTGATCCATACAACCTCCCTAGCTGATGGACTATTAGAATCTAAAATTTTGGCACAAGGACTGTCAAGCTGAATCAGGACCTCTCATTTCTATCTCCACTAAAACATCATATCCCACAATAAACTGAAGCTTTGGGCAAGCATACCCTGGCTTGCAGATAGGAGATAGTCCGCCGGCAGTTTCCCCAGTTTCCCCAGCGTTGTATTTAAAGGTTAAATTTGACCAGCTATTTGTGCAGCAAGTTCTGTAGTAGCGATTGCCTTCAAACTTGCACATATAAAACTAGAGAGCTCTGAGGATTATTTGCCGAAGATAGAGAAAAATCTGTCTTAGGGTTTCGAAATTATTGACGTTTTTTTTTTTGTAAAAATGTGGTTTTAAACATGTGGCGAAATCTCAAACGTTTTCATACCTACAAGAAAATTAATAAAAATTTTCTTAAAGTTCGACCATACTTTATTAAGAATACCAAAAATCATGGAAATCGGTTAAATCATTCCTGCGGAAAAACGCGATTCAAAAACATAACCAACACCGCATATAAATAGGTTCGGGCCACCTTAAAGAGAATTATAAGGTTTGCTATTGTTTTTCAGTTTGTTCCTTGCGTGGTACACACATTCCAAGTTATTCATTTGCGGATCGATATCTTACAAGCCCCAATTATCCCTACAACTATCCTCCTTCAACTACTTGTCTATGGAGTTTGAGTCGACCGTCATTGCCTTACGCTGTAAAGCTTACATTCCACTACTTCTCCTTGGAATCTTCATCTGGTTGCTCGCACGATTACCTAGAAATTCGCGATGGTGACTTCTACTCTAGGAGCACACTGATCGGAAAATTTTGCGGGAGCAGACAGCCACCTATAATAGTATCAAAGTACAAGTATCTTTTTGTGAAGTTTGTCAGCGATCGTGATTACTTTCCTTCGACACGAAAATTCCAGGCAACGTTTAGAGCCTTTGTACCATGTAAGTATTTGATAGAAACTCTCTTGGTGAGTGTGTGACCAAGTGGAGTTGCAAATTATAGGATACTGTTACGAGTTTTCAATCCTGTCCTTTAGGCTATTAGCTATCTAGGCAGAGTTAGGCGTGCATTGTTCTCCGAAAGCTTGACGTTTTGGTGACAAGAGAGTGTGAAATTTTAGTGGCTTATGATCGTCTAAACCGTTGTCCAAACCCGAAGAAATATCAACAGACCACAAAAATCCATACCATAATGAATCAGTACTATCTCCATCTAACAAAAAGCCTTGGGGCTGGTGTAAGGATCAATCACACCAACTAATTTGGGGACTGATGACACAATTATAGCATCAAAAGCTTGCAGCTAGCCTCCTCCGCAGCCAGGCAATTCTTTTTGTAACGGTTACACTGACCGTGAGGAGTCTGAGAACGAGGAAAAGAATTTAAAAAAGTGAAAGTCACTACACGTTCCCTCTCCATTCTTCCACCTGTCCTCTAAAACAAGACAGTGAAGACTACGGTATATGTATATAAAAACTGATGAAAAGCCCAAATGCCAATTTTGTATTTCTGTTGACATTCCAGCAATGTTGAGCGGCATTTGCTCGATAAACAGCCCATTTCTCCATAACAACAACTTACGGCTGACTAGTTCATCTGGAGGGACTTTTCGAAGCCCCTCTTACCCCTCTTACTACCCAACCAACATGGTGTGCACCTGGAAGATCACCTCGCCGGCAGGCAAGAGGATCAAGATTTCTTTCAACTATTTCAGGCTTGAAAGTGGTATTTGTTCCTCTAATGACTTCCTGGAAGTTCGAGATGGTTCGTCTTCGACGAGTATAAGGAAAGGCACTTACTGTGGAAGCTATGCCCCGACTATTACTTCCAGTGGCCAATATCTATGGATTCGCTTCAGATCTGACTCTTTAATTGGCTATAATAAAGGCTTTGAAGCTCGTTATTCATTTGTCAAAGTTGCTTGTAAGTAGTCACAAGTTTGCTGTCTGAACTCACTGTACATGCAAAGACGCGTACGAATAAGGCATAATCATGAGGGAGGGAGAAATATAGAGTGTGGTGAACTTGAATTGAGGAAATAGCTATGAAATACCCTTTTATGCTTGCAAGAAATTAGAACCAGTTACCTGCCAGTCTCTTGCAATTTCAAAATGATTGAATGGAAACGAGTACTATACTGCAGCTGGTTCCGTCTCTGAATGCATTCAAAGTATAAGATTTAAAAAAAGGAAATTATTGGTTATTAAAATGTCCCAAAATAACATTTTTGGGTCCGAAGGTTTTGTTGACGGGTTTGTGAGACTTAATTAAAGATATTTTGCAGTATATGTTGCAGTATTTCGAAACGATTTTACCTTTATTTGGTCTGAAATCATACTCGAGCTCACGCTGTGCACTCGTCCGCTTTTGAAATCACGCGCATGATTTCAGACCAAATTGTAGTCCACTCAGTTCAATTACCATTATACATTATACATGTTACTTATACATTCATCCACTTATCTACTGTTCTTTTCTCTGTTTCCTTAACCAGCAAGCAAAGTAGTTACCGTGGTTGCAGTCGTCATAGCAATTGCTATTATAATAGCAGTGATCGTCGCCGTCATCTACTACTTGAAAAGAAGAAACAGACGCGTTGTACGAACTCAGGCTGTGCCCATTGCCACCACCACAACAACTATGACCACTACTCAGCCACCCCCTGCTGGATACCCTCACGTGATTACGCAGCAGTACCCACCACCTGGTATACACACTACTCCAGCCCCACCCCCTAGTACCATATCTTCTCTTACCCTAGGCTCACCTCCTCAAGTGGCTTATCAAGCGGCTATTGTACCGATCAGTCCTGGTAATGGAGCCTACTCACACCCTCCGGGGGCACTGCCGACAGCGCAAGCTCCCCCTCCCTACTACTGACAGTAAAAGAAGTACAGGCCGCTCCACCTCAAGCTGCATCCTCGTTATCGTTCTTACATGCATTCATGTATGCTTTAAACTTTTTCGTTTTAAAGCCTGTACTCTATGATCTTATAAGATTGCCCCATTCACGGCCGAAACAAGATTAAAGATCAAAGCCGGGCTTATGCAATACATATCGCATTTTGAAATATAATTTATCTGCGTTAACTTTGTAAGGTGTATCTAAGGCTTTTGTATTTCCGTAACGTAAACAAAATGGACGTTAAAATGGTAAACTAGACAAACTCGGCCATATGTCAGATCGAATCAGAAGTTGTGACAGGGGCACCCAACGACCGTTTCCTTCTAAATGCATTGAAAACACTTTTTAGTGTAACTAGAGTACTTTTAAAACTCTAGAAATGCATTCTAAGCGGCGCTATAAAATTTGTGTCTGTTCGGTCGTCCTAGGGGAACTTGAGTCTTTTTGAAATTACAAGGGCTTCAGTATTATTTTCCCGCAAATTTTAGATGCAATTCAACGCATTACGAAAGTGCGAATTTTTCTGATTCCCCTCTCCATCACATCAGGATATATTTGAATCCGAAAATTTCAGCTTTCGTCTTTCTTACGAAAAATAACCTAACCTGGGATGTAAAATGTTAAAAATTATTCTTCAGAAAAACGTAGGAAATTTATAAGATAAGCGTCGAAAATTGTACATGAGCGGAACGATCATCTAGAAATTTTTCAGCGTCCTCAAGCTATAGAAAATTCTAGGCAATATTTGCTTCCCCGAACAGATATTTTACAGAAACCAGTCGTTGGGTGCCCCTGTTGTGAGAGAGTGTCTTCAGTTGGTTAAACATACCCAGTAACTATTGATATGCAAAAGGATCGAATTATCGGCTTCCGTTAGGAAAATGCAAGTTTTTTCCGAGTCTGATCACCTATATGGCTATAGGGGCACCCTACGACTGTTTTCTGTGAAATATCTGTTCGGAGAAGCAAAAATTGCTAGAATTTTCTAAAGCTTGAGGAAGGCTAAAAATTTCTAGATGACCGCTCCATTCATGTACAATTTTAGAAGCTTATCTAATAAATTCCCTACCGTTTTCTAAAGTTTAATTTTTGCCATTTTACTCCCCAGGTTAAGCTATGTTTCGTAGAGAAAGGAAACCTAAAGTTTTCGGAATCAAAAATGTGATGCAGCGAGAAATTAGAAAAATTCTCACTTTCGTTAAAGACTCAAGTTGCCCTTTTTGGATGACCGAACAGATATCATTTCTTAGCGCCACTTAGAATGCATTTCTAGAGATCCAAAAGTACTCTGGATAGCCTAAAAAGTATTTTTAATGCAATTAGGAGGAAACCGTCGTTAGGTGCCCCTGTTTCATTGACTGAGAAAAGTAACACACACTAGTATCGTGTGCCCCCCAAGGTTATTAAAATATGCCATCACATTTGTGTGAACCGTAACCGAGTTACCAATGGATGCATATCACTTTTCAGGCGTTGTTTAGGGTTAATTTTATACAGAACTGAACCTTATTGAAAATATAAGCAAGAGAAATAAAGGCTTCAGGTGATGAGACTGACTGTTCCGTGGAGGTTAGACATATTAGGAACGTCCTCTAAAGGATAAATAAAATAAAAAAGTTACTATCGCGTGGCGGAAAAACTATGATGATATTTTTCACTGCCTAGAACTAGCTGTTTAATTTCATTTTAATTTCAAGAGTATAGATGTTGATTTACAGATACCATAGAAATCCAAGTCCCATAACTCGGAATAATACACTTTGGATTCAAATTCAAAATTAAATATTAAGTTTTTTATTCCGTAAATAATACTGATCCTGGGGCAACTTAAAAATCCCTCTAAACCAGGAAAACAGAATCTCCCACCGGGGAAAAATGCTGTAAAGTGATTGTGGGATTTAATAAGGAAAAAAGGTCACTTCTGATCGTAAACATTGCATTTGCAAATAATAATAATAATAATAATAATAATAATGATAATAATGCAAAGTTGTTTTTTGTGATTCTAAGACCAGGAGCAGTGCTCTTAGGATAATTTGTCTGCCAGCACTATGCTGTGGTTTAAGGCAAATTGTTGTTCTTTTAGCCATATAATCGCCCTTTGGGAATCTAACACAGTGATAGTAGTGGATTCTGGATTCCACGCTGTAAATTCCTCAATTCCAGTTACTGGATTCCGAACTTTGTCAGTGGACGTCGTCTGGATTTCGGATTCCACAACCAAATTTTGTTTTAAAAAAACCCAGATTCCATAGACAAAAATTTCCCGCCTTCGATCTTTGTATCCTTTCACTACAGAATGTAATGTAAATTAAGGGCTAAGCAGTGGGCGAGGCAGCCTGGGAAGGAGTTAATTTAAGCTTCCGGTGCAGATCCTGATGAACGTCAGACAAAGTATGTAATAACAGCATTTTAAAAGTCTTCCGTTGCGTTCAAAACCAGAAAAGAGGTTACAACATAGTGCTTCATCGCTCATGAACAAGGGATGTACCATACCGATAGAAATGAAAGACATTTACCGTCATAACGTTCTGTATACTAAATAAAGAGTTTTACTGATAATAAATGCGCATGCGTAAGTTACTTAATTGGTTTCCAAGTTACGTCATAAAGGTAACTAGGCAGACGATGAGTAGTCATGCAACATTGCAGACGCGCTTAACAAGCGTTATTAAAACTATTGAGAGAATCTTTCTTGGAAAACTGAGCGGTAAAAATTGATTTATCAAAATGTGTCACAAGGGAGGAGGTAAGTGTGTCGTTGAGTTAATGTACCCTTAAATTTCCGGCAAAAAGATAGATTTATATAAGAAGGTGAAGTTACTCGTTGGGTTAAGCCGGTGTCATTCATCACTAATTCACTAAGCGGGTTGTGTTTGGAGCTTAGGCGTGTTTTGACGTGCTTTCGACATAAATACGGTGGCTCCAAGTTAATTTAAGCTGTTTCAGAGAGAGTTTTCTTGTAGGAAAAATAAAGGAATAAGGATATTTATTTTTAAGCTATTAAAGCTTGATTTGACTTGACACTGCTGAGGCGCGCGCCCACTGCTGAACAGGCTTTGCAAAGGAAAACAAAAGTTCTGATCGAGGAAAAATTTTCTATATTTTCATCAAGATCGCGAGCTACCTCAATACAAACAGAAACAGCTGCCAATGAAAACAGCTATTCCGGAAAAACAGCATTTTTGCTAGAGTTGGCATAAATAACATTTTTCAACAAACGTTCCATTTGACGCCATAATGGTATAGAATATTTTTCCGCGAGCAATCTTAAAGCGTGAACCCTAAGAGTAAAGAAACACCAGTTCTCCAAAAAGAACAAATTGTTACCTTTGGCGAAATTCATTTCGAAAAGCAAAAAGAAATAAATAGCAAAGTTTAAAGTTTGCTATTTAGTATAACCGACAGAGAAGTGAAGACAACATGAGGGCTCGCGCAGATAAAAAAAAAAACCGGCTAATACCAGAGCGACAATTTGACGACAGCCGCATTCGGTATTTCTTAAATTTTCGAGCGTTTTTTACGCTCTCCTCATTTGACGGTCAATAGGCTGATTTAGCAACAGAACGGTAACGTCAGTTGACGACGGCTCGCGCAAATTAAATAATAAAGATTGAAAAACCTGCGCAGCGTAGTACTTATAAATGTTATTTAGTCTTGTATGCCCTGACGAAGGCAGCATTGCCGAAACGTCGGTTAAGATTCTTATAATAACAGCGTCCGTTTTACAATTTTTAAAATATCAAATTAAATAATAGCTTGACCAGTGGCAGAGCGGCAAATTGGGCACCGGAGGTTGTGTTCAGTCCTTTCCGCGCTTTTTCCCGTCGTTAACTGACGTTCCCGTCCTGTTGCTAAATCAGTTAGGGTAAGCCGACTGGGGCCAAGCGAAATGATGGCGCAAATGCTGAGGAAAACTATAGACTTGCCTACAAGTCGAGCTCAGGATTTTTCTCGAGGACAAGAAATTTTTAATGTTCCTTCTACCGGAACCGGAACCGGAAAGCGAAGGACTTTGAGAAAGTCTAGGAAAACTACAGCAACTGAGTCTTTATGGTTTGTGCGTGCGCACTTAAACATAATTTGAATAGCGTATTCAATCGTCAGCAAGTTAAATTTTGCAATTGAATCACGGTTAACAATACTTCGTATTGTAAAAAAAATCACCTTGCCTGTACCTTTATTAGATTCACTTTTAGTCTGAAGCGACTGAAATCCATCTTCTGGTTCGTCCTACTTCACGTCGTCAAAGGCATTTTCTTAAGGGTCCTTCTTGAGTTCTCAGATGATTGAGATTGAGATTACATGAGCTTTCGTTACTTTTAGGAGACCTTCGCCCTATATGTGACGAGTTGTAAGCGTCTACGATAAAAGAGATGACTTTGCATTCTGGATCGTGAATTTTCTGCATATGGACAGCAACATCCCAATATATATTTCTCAACTGGTGAGATATGCTTGTTTGTTCATAGACTTCAGCCGACTTTCCTCGCGTCTCAATCAACAACGCTCTAAATCCTTAAGCAAGTTCTTCCAGCGCCATGGGGTTAACATAAAAAAGTATCAAACTACGATGGGAGATGAGACTGGCAATCAAAGGCTGAATGGTCTTGCCATATCCTTTATTAATTAAAGCTTTTACTAATCTTTTTAATACCCTTTCAGTTAGTGTAGGTTGTGTGCGCGGGCGTTATTTAAACATGCGCGCGTTTTCTTTTACTGCTTGATTGACGTGTGTATTTAGTTCGTTAATTAATGCATTACATTTTTTTGGGTATTTTCTTACTAATATACCTTGTCGGTCACTGCGCTCAAGTTGTAAGTGGCTCCTTCTAAAATTTTCTACAACTGGTATAGGATTTAATGGAGCCGAAAGCAATTGTGGAATAAGACGCATTTTAGGCCTCCTATACTGACGAACAGTTTTAGATTTTTTTATGTTTTAGACTTTTAGATATTTCGCAGAGCAACAGCA